TAGTTATATGAATCTTGTGGTCCATTGCTAATTTTTTGTTACCCTTCCAAAAAAAACAAAGCATACCTAATCCATTAATATTTCTTACTAATGTAAAGGTTTTAGGCACACAATCTTGCATAGCCCTTACATTATAAAGAGTCTATTTATGTTAATCAAACCAATAACATATTGAAGCCTAACCACTGTTTATTTGATCCTTAAAGTAATAAAAAAATATGAATTATATAGTCATAGATTTGTTGTAATATTGTGTGCAATAAGCGACGACATTAGTCATTTTAGCACCAACAAAGGACCGACTTGAATATTTTTTCAAAAAAGATTTGGCTTTGAACTATTTTTATATTTTTTTATTGCAAGCTTGGTGTGATCTCCCTAAATTTGTTATTACGATTATTTAAGACTTAAAGCCTCTCCATTATGTTATTTAGCTAGCAGAATATATTCTTTCAACATTCTATAAGAATATTTTCTGTAAATTTGACTTTGGTTTGATTTGTTCCTACTTCATTATTGGTGATTTTAAGCTTGTCAAGGATCTGATTTGGGTAGCTGCAAGAGTGAAAAGCAGCTATAAAGCTGATGTAGAAAGAACCAACTGCGAGAAAGTATTGTCCAGCCAAAAATCTAAGAGTGTGAATCTAATGTGAATCTAATGTGTTGCAATTATTTCTGGAAAGATGACTAATATGCTCTTTTGTATATCCACTCGCCAAAAATTTAAGAGAATTTCACATGACTATGGGTCCGTTTGGGGCGGATTAAAAGAGTGGGAGGCGTTTTCCAAACATCCTCGTGGTGTTTGTTTAACGTGTTCGCACTACGGTTTAGGTTAAGGCATTTAGGACCCTTAAAAAAACATAGGTCGATCCCGCGACCCGCGTTCGATCGCACATTTTTGACCTCGTTGCCCTCGAATGACTCCACTGAAATCGCGCTCCGTCTGCCTTCTGCTCTCTCGCGCTTCTCTCTCCCGATCTCGTAAGTTTCTTTCCTCCTTATGTCAATCTCGTGTAAGATCTGAGTATCCCTCTCGTAACTGAGATCTCTCCTAACCGTCGATAGATTAGAGTTTTTTTTATTTTTTCCTCTATGTTATGGAACTCTTCTTTATGCATTTGTTTGCTCTCTGTTAAACATTATTTTGGCTCTATGAGTTAGGGCATTCTCTAAATTTGGGGGATTTGGGCATTCTCGATGGATTGGATTTCATTATTGTTTTAGATTCTCTTGCAATTCGCTTCTATGAGGTTTTTGGTTCTATGCTATGAAACTCTTCTTTATGCATTTCTTGGCTCTCTGTTAAGCATTTCTTCGGCTCTCTGACTTAGAGCATTCTCTGATTTTGGGCATTATCGATGGATTGGATTTCGTTGTTCGTTTAGATTCTTTTGTAATTCACTTCTATGAGGTAAAGCATTGAGATGTGTAGATTTTGAAAGGTCTGGCAATAAAGGCCTAGCATTGGTTTAGCTTCTCTTGCAATTCTTTAGTTTAAAAATGTTTCATATCTCACTATCATTAGTTATTAGTAACACCATAAAATTTTTGTATCTCTTGATGAACCTTGGTGCAGGCTAGTCTGGCTGCTTGTATTATCGTAATTGTCGAAATTGTGATAGCAGTTGTGCAGGACGAAGTTTATTGTATGGTGTAAGAATTTTCTACCATGATGCATCTGATTGTTTCCTCAAATAGGATCACATGTATGATCATGTTACTACATGATTACAGTCAGATCAATTGTCATGTGTGCATTTTAATTACGGTGGGACGTCGTATCCTTATTGTTGGTTATTGTTTTCATATCATGAGTAATTATTTGGATTGCTTTGTCATACTTAAAGCTTGGAGAGTTTTCATTAACCATAACTAGCACTAATTAAAGAGGTAGAGCATAACATTAATTGATCTACTTCATTATACAGATGTTTAACATTCTTTTTTTAGGTTACTTGATATTCACTGTTAAGTGAGGTGTGTATCTTTTGTTTTGTACTATTATGAAAAAAAAAATTTTGTTATAAACAATCAAATATATAGTCGAAACAATTTTATGGCAAACAGCACAACTGTACAGTAACAAAATGATCATTTATCCAGAAACAGTTGTAAATCAGTTGCTTTCCAAACGCACAAACAAAACAGCAAGACAGCTTATCTAGATCATGGGTTGAATGGTCATTTATCAAAAAATAAGGAAGAAGCTTATTTTATGGTGTAAGAATTTTCTACTATGATGCATATGATTGTTTCCTCAAATAGGATTACATGTATGATCATGTTACTACATGATTACAGTCAGATCAATTGTCATGTGTGCATTTTAATTACGGTGGGACGTCGTATGCTTATTGTTGGTTATTGTCTTTATATCATGAGTAACCATTTGAATTGCTTTGTCATACTTAAAGCTTAGAGAGTTTTTATTAACCATAACTAGCACTAGTTAAAGAGGTAGAGCATAACATTAATTGATATACTTCATTATACTGATGTTTAACATTCTTTTTTTTAGGTTTCTTGATACTCACGTTAAGTGAGGTGTGTATCTTTTTTTTGTACTGTTATGATTTTTTTTTATTCTAAACTATCAAATATACAGCTGAGACAATTCTATTGCAAACAGCACAACTATACAGTAACAGAATGGTCATGTATCCAAAAACAGTTGTAAATCAGTTGTTTTCCAAACGCACAAACCAAACAGCAAGACAGCTTATCCAGATCAGGGGCGGAATGATCATTTATCCAGAATCAGTTGCTAATCAGCTGTTTTCCAAACCCACAAATCAAACAGTCAGACATCTTATTTGGATCAACTGCAGATCAGCAGCTGATCAGAATAAGCCGCTTATCTGGATAAGCTGGACAAGTTGCAGCTGCCACAGACAGACTCTATCTCTTTCATAACTCAATTTACAGTATTATATATTTTTACAAGAATATAAAATTTTATTTTATGCATTATCAATAAAGGATAACAACAATACCGCATAATATTTAATATTTTGTTGGATTCACAAAATTACACCTTTCATAAACCATTGAATTACATAAAAACATTAGCTGAAACAATCTCTCAAGCAAAACTGAATGATTAGGGTATACATCAGACATAACCATATCACAAAGCTAGTCATTAATGTTTCACTCAACAACTAAAGCATTAGTAATATTGACCTTAGTTGGACCATAATATCAACACATTCACTGCACTAGGTTTGGTGGTCCATGACATCTTTGATATAAGTCATTGACTGATCAACCTTCTATTCATAAACCTCATCTAGAACATATGTGTGATATATCTCCATGTCATAATTTGAAGTACGATGTCTTAGGTAATTATGTAATGTTATTGTCAATACCATTACTTGACTTGTTGGTTAAATGAATATGTAGGCATGTCCCTTAAAATAAGCAATTTATTCTTCCAAGCACCAAAATTCTTTTTAATAACACCATGTAATGATGAGTATTGATTGTTAACCACTTTTTTTACCACGAACTACTTTACTTTCAAAATCTGAGATGTGATATTTTGTTTCGGGATATGACTTCAAAATCCTCATTACATCAAGTACCTAGCATCCACAAAATAATACTTCCTTATTGGATAACATAAAATCTTTATGTTTAAATTATTTCTAAAGATATATCTATTACATGTGCAATTAAGGAGTACCTAGAGAAGGCATTGGAAAATTATATTATCAAGTGCGAGTTGCAAATTTAAAGATGTGATAATCATGTGCATTTTCTTCCCAGCCGATCATGAAAAATGTGAAACAAATGCTAAAGTTATAAATCATCATAACACTCTACATCGTGAACCACGCCTTCCAATATAAGCCACCATATTAGCTTTAAGAACATAGGCATCTATATGTATTTCATCAATTGCACCACTGCAATCCTACACTACAAATTATTTTATTAAGCACATTCAAGCTACTAAAAAAATCATATAATTTCATGTGTATGAGTTTACCTTAAAGTAGGCATATAACAATAATCTTGTAATATCTCAGTAGGTGTAGTATCAAAAGTAGGGTCTAGGGGCTTCACGATCAGCTGTTTGTCAACGGATTATTGTTAAGCTGCAGCTGCCCCAAACAAACCCTTAAGCACATCAACTGCATCGCTTGTGGAATGTTATTTTCTCTTTTTTCTCATTTGAGCTTATATACAGTTTTGTTCTTATATGATTGAATATCACAAATTTTAAAAGGGATATTATGTTATAATTTTGAACATTTCTCAGCACAATTGTGTTAAGCAGTAGCACTTGCGTTTTCTTCTTTTTTTCGACTTTCTATTTTTTTCTTCTGTTATCTTCGATTCATTTGTATTTTTTTCCGATGAAGTCATTTATCTATTTGATAAGCCCAAACTCATTTAACAAAACACAACATTGTTCGAATAAACCTTCATGCTAGGGGATAAAAATGAATTGCAATCAAACAAAGCTTGAGGCCAAGTCAAAATGAAGTTCAATAAATGAATGGTTCATTAAAACTTAGTTTGAACAGTCTCATACTTGACTTGCTCATCTAAACCATTGGTTTGAACAGTCATTTAGATGTATACAAGTACAGTGGGAAGGAGATATCAATTTGAACAGGGTCATACTTGACTTGCTCACCTAGAGCATTGGACTGAGGTGTCATTTAGTATTATATCAGTACTATGGGCAGGAGACAACGAAGTGGACGGCAGAACAAAATCTAAAGATGTAGTAGATTTGGGAAAGATGACTGGCCGAGTTATATTGAGCAAATTAGGGCCGGCTTTTACTTTGCACTGAATTGATCCTAACAAATGATCGATGTTAAATTTAACTTGCATTTACTTGATTTAAAATCGACTTTTCCAGCCAAGTTTTCAAGTAAATTCTCACCAAAATGGTCAAATATACACATGGATATGTTGGTGTATTTGTAGATTTGCTACGTATTTGTGAGCATGCTACTAATGTTTGCCATGTTGCGCAGCATGCAAAGGATTCTTGAGCGTTACGAGCAATGCATCTATGCAGAAAAAGCGCTCCCTCCAAAAGAACCTTTGTCACAGGTATAGATCATCACCCACAGGATGATTTTACCCTGTAAACTTCCAACTTTCTTTAATGGCCTCTATTTAAGCTGTGTATCAACTTACGAAGAGTTCTATATAGATTCTCTTAGAAAGGAAAAACCACTAAAAACAAATAGAGTTATGACTTCAACTTTTCTCGCTGCTTTACTGTAGGAAGAATTGTATGGCGAATATAGAGAACTCAAGCGAAAGGTTGATGCCATGCAGAGGAGCCAAAGGTAATATGTATTTTTTATTTTAAACAACATTGCAGAATATGGAGAGAGAATTTAGTTTAATGTGGACTTCCCATGTGTATTTCAGCCATGCCATGGGTGAGAATTTAGATACCTTAAGCGTGATAGAGCTTCAGCAACTAGAGATAAGGCTCGAAACTGCGCTGAAGCGTATAAAGTCCCAAATGGTAAACCATTTAATCAAATAATTTTATTATTGAATTTATCACTTGTATTGTAGCTCTCAGGCAAACACTTATTCTTGTGAGGCAGAATCAAATACTCCTGGATTCGATTGCTGAGTTTCAAAGAAAGGCAAGATTTTCTCTTATATGTCTTTTGAATCAAATCCCTGAAAAACATTACTAAGATTGAGGGCATCCTTAAGTAGGCTGTCCAATAGGCTACCAAACTTTATTTAAGTCCATTTAATTAAGCTCTCCAAAACCCATTACGGGCATGAGATATCCTAGGTTAATGGAAAGTGAAGAAATGTAATGATTCAGTTGATTTTTTCAATCTTACATAAAAGAAATATAATGAGATAACAATTAATAGCTTTTGTTTATGAATATAATTTAGAATCTTTGTGACATGATTACAGATTTTGAAATGATTTCGTGAAAGGCACATTTGTGTATGCTTTTATTGAGTCAAATATAATAATTCTGATGTAATTGTAGCTGGGAATGTCTCTTAGTTGATTGTATTTCCCTTTTCTTTGAATCTGGTGAAGCTCGGAACCGATTCTTCATAGAGCTAAGGCTCATTGGTTGCATAAAGGCAAAGAAAATATCAAATTCCTATATCAAATAATCAAAGGGAGGCAAGGTTTCAACAACGCTTGAACTCTCAAAGTTTTTCTTTGACCAGTTGATTTTCATCATCAAATTGCTTATGAAGTTCTTTCATTTTTTGAAGCTGCTACCTCCTATTCGTAAATCTAGTTGGAAAGGCTGTTTTAAAGGATCTATTATTCACCATGGTTGAGGACCATTTTACCATGACATATTGGCAACTCCTAAGAATAATCCATCGGTGTTGAATTTTTCCAAGCTACTTAGGACATCAAGGAGAAGGATTTCACTACGGTTTCCCTATTTTCTATAATTTCAAGTTCAGAGACAAAAAATAGACCATTTTATCACCTTTATTTCAAAAATATAGAGCTTCTGATTACATCAGTGGCCACAGGACAATTTTCTTGTGTAATTTCTTCGAAAACTTTACTATAGTCCTTGTTTCTAGGCTCCAAAAGTGCTTACTTTCATTTTTTCTACGTTACGAGTATTTTCATTTCTAGTAAACTTCTTGATCAAAATCTTCTTTTGACCATTAAACTTTTAATGGCTTCTATGAGTCTAATTCATCTAAAAGCTCCTATGCTAAATTTTCATTATCAAAGCCACAAACTACCAGGACAAATCATATATTCATGCAGACAATCGCAGAAAGGATCTTTCTGAAAATTCATTAGGCACGTCTAGTTTTGTATTGGGAATATCCATTTCTTCATCAACATTAATGGAATGGTTCTCTTGAGCTGTTCTTTTCATCTGCCCAGTGGTTATAATTCCTTCTATTCCATAAATTCAGGTTATTATCATGTGCAACTCTAAGATAAAGACTAGAGTTTTAATCCAATCTTCATTATTTATGTATCCACCGCACCTACAATCGATATGACCCGTGCAATGTTAGCTTGAATGTCATTACTGGGGAAACCCAAGATATAAACAAAAAAACTGTGCTCATTTACTGGTCCTATTCTCGGTTCTATTCAACCATGTCTGCACCATCAATTGCTACTCTCGATAGACAATAGCATTCTGTCATTCTCGAGAAACAAAAGCATTCCATGGACTCGTATTGAAAGAATAAAAGCAACAAATGTAATAAATAAATAAATCATGCCGAGGCCAAACCTGTGCCTTTCATCTCCCATAATCGTGCACGTTATTGCGTGAGGTTTGAATGGTTCTCACAAAACCAAGTCCCGCTCAATTTTCCGTTGCTCTCGCTTGCACGCTCTTGGTCTTGTTCTCTCCTTTCCATACATCCTCCCAATCCACTCCTACCTGAAACCCTAAGAAGGAAGGAAGTCGCGTACAAGGCGTCGGTGGGACTAGCAGTGATCGAAGAAGAAATTCTGTAGGAAGCTTGCTGGAGATGCTATTGACGGGATCGACGACGTGTAGTTGAGGAAGACGCGACGGGGGCTCGCAGGAGAAGACCTCGACGGGATAAGGTTGATTCCGCCCAAAGAGGAGTGACGAAATTTAAGATTTCATTGGGTTTAGAGTTGTCATTTTGGCTATTTCTAGAGATTTAAGTTAAATTTTGTTTAATTTCTGTCACGAGCGCTGAAAATTTGAACGTGTATTTAATTTTATTATAAAGTTATTAACAAAATATTTTTATAAATCTAAATAAATAAGTAATGAAATTAATTTTAATTAACATCTAATTACTACTTAATAAGTAAATAAAATAATCTATAAATTCTAATTAATTTTTTTACAATCAAATAACATAAATAACTAGTAATAAACTAGTTCATTGGAATATATATATATATATTATATATATATATCTTAGAATTTATGTGAATATTAATATTAATTAATAGTGTGTTATGATTAAATATATTATTAAATAAAATCTAATTAAAGAAATTTTATTTTAAATGATGTATGATATAAGTATAGAACATTTAACAAGTTACTTGATGAGCAACAAATAAGTTCATTCATGAATATTTGCAAGCGTTTGATTATATTCAAATTTGATTCATTTAAGATTCGAGTTTTCAAAAAATATTTAAAGCTATTAATTTACTAATTTGAACAAACATGATCGAGTATTATTTGAGTTGAGCTCGAGTTGTTCATGAACTGCATTGGTACATTTACAGCCCTACCTCTCATTAAACATTTCTCTATCTATGCTCTCTCTCTCACTGCTCTAGTCTGCAGCAGGGCTACACTTGAATTGTGTCGAGCCAAGTAGTTTTTTGTTCGAGTTTTGAGCTCTTTTATTGAAATTTTGTTCAAATTCGGCTTGACATCTAGTTTTTAGGCATGTGTCTAAGTGTTAGCTCGTTTATCTAAAATTCATTTTGGCTTAGCTTAAGCTTAATTTGAGTTCACTGTATACAATAATTATTTAGCTTATTAACAAGCTACTCATTTAACAAAATAAATGAATCAAAATTGAGTCTTAATTGTGCCTTACATTAGTTTTATGCAAGAAAATGTTTTATGCAAGAAAATGATATGATGAAAAAAAAAAAAAGAGTTGTTTTAAATAAGGATTGTTTAGGCTAAAAAATAAACATTTAAATGATATACATGAATAAGTTTTAATTGAGCGGTGATCGAACTATACTTGAGCTATATAATCAAGTTTGAATCTGGCTTAAAATATTTGCTCACAAGCTTTAAACGATATTATTCACAAATATAAATGAATCAAAAATCAAGTTATTCGAGCTTATTTATATAATAACTTGGTATTTACAAAAGTATTCAAACTCTTCTGATAAGTTAATTAAAGGATTATAAATAAAACACTAATCAAGATGACTCATGAGCAGCAGGTTGAATACTTGGTTCATTCGTAGCTTTGCTCTACATTTTAGAGAGAGAGAGAGAGAGAGTAAAACAAAAGCAAGAAATGAAGAAAGAAGAAAGAATGAGAAGAGAATGTACAAAAAAGAAGAGAAAAAAAAAATGTGTGTGAAGCATATAGCCTTATTGATACATCACACATGCAAGCACAGTATAAGAACAAGTCGATTAGCCTGATGTCTATGTACTTGCGTGCGTCCTCACAAGTATATGTGCATGTTTTCCTTGACACTGAGAGAATATATTTATGAATTTTCATATAGATTCAAGAAAACCTATATTTTTTTTTTTTTTTGCACTGAGAGTAAAAGACCTGAACATGTAGCCTTAGACACAAGTTTTATGCATCATTCTTGTCATAGTTGACAAACAAAAACTCTGGGTAGAAGGAGGCTATTGAATTCTTTAATGATGTGTCTTGAATTGAAATGAATTACAATGATTTTCTAGGCCCAAAAACACTACTAAGATAAAACAAGAAGCTTGGATATGGCTTTAGATGAACCTTAAAATGATATACAAATAGTATTAACAAATTGAAAGAAACTAGAACATGATATAAAATCAGAGCTAGAATTGGACATATAGGGCTATTAAATGAATCGATGCAATCAATGAACAACTTGAATTCAGTTTAATTAATACTCAATTGAGTTTGTTCAAATTAGTACATAAACAAGTTCGAAGATTTTGTAAAACTAAAAATGTCAAATAAACTAAATTTAAACCCGGTTCAAATTGTTTATTAATGTTTATAAATAAACTCATTTGCTTTTTTAAATGCTCCACAATAAGCTAGATGATAGCTTATATGGTATGTGTATATGATTGAAAAAAAAATTGACTAATTATAACTTACTTAATTATATATTTAGTTTTAACATATTATGCTTAGATATTAATGTGTGTAATGATTAATAAAATTCATTCTTTTTAAATTAGTAAATAAAGAAGGTTGAAATTTTTTTTTAAAACTCAAAGGTTAAATGAGCCATGTTTAAATATAGTCCAAATCATTTATTTATGTTCATAACAAACTCGTTTATTATTAAACAAATAATTTGTTAAACACTCTATAGTAAGTTTGATGATAATATATATTATATATGATACATTATTTAAATAAAATTTAATTAAGTGAAACTTATTCAATTATAAAATTAATATTAACATATTATTCTTTAATATCAATATGCATAATAAGTTAATACAACTTTTTCTTATTTTTTTTAGTTCTATGAAATTGTTTGTTAGTACTTATTTATATTGTTTGATGACAGATTTTTTTTTTTGTAACATATATATAATCTTATTTAATTGGTATAAATTATTTAGTACTAATTCAAAATTTATTTGGTTGTCTATTTGTTTAAATTTTAAAATCATTTGTTAATAATTTTATATGAAAAACCGAGCACTCATTCAATTTTAAATTTTTTTAACTCACAGAAGTACTTATTCAATTAATAAAAATATGTGAATAAAAACCAAGTATGACTATTAAAAAGTTTAAGAAAGCAAAGTAAGAACATATATGTGAAGGCTTGGCTCAAGCTCTATTTAAACTTGAACAACTTATAATATTACCAAGTCAAGTCCAAACCACAATATGCTCGGCTTGAATCGGCTCAATTATAAGCCTACGAACATCAAGGATTTGTAATGAATTCTAAGGCTTGCCAATAGACAAAACTAGAACCTCCCAATTGCAATTGAACTCCATAAGTTATGACAATCTAAATAGGTTTTAAAAATAAACCTTGTACTTTGTATGTTCTTCTCTCTTTGTTAGCATGCCTCTTCATTTGCATTTCTTTTACTTTTCTTTTTGTGGGGATTGGAAGTTTATGATAAGGAGTTTGACTTTATTGGTTATTCTGGATAACTTATCTGTCGTTATTGGATGGTTTCACATGTGAAATCCTAATGAAGGAAACAAAGTTCCTCTTTTTTTCGTGCCACAGTTTTTTAGGTTCTTTTTTATTGCTTTTTTTTTGTGATATACATATGTAATATACATGACTTTAGTATTGTGTGAGTTTAAGACAAACAATAACCCTTTTTATAAGGTATGCTAGCTTTTTATCGTGATAGATTCATTGGTCTATATATAGAGTTCTCTGATACCTCGTCGCTGCATAAAACTATAATTAATTACTTATGTTATCAAAATTTTCTTGTGATATGTCTAATGGGGTGTTTTTTAAAATCATTCAGAAAAACTGAGCTCGATGATTTCTAGTACCTCCCAAAGATTGCACTGTTAGTGTAGACTTCAAAGTTTCATGCTAAATTGATGTCAGCCATATGGCTAGTTGAAACAGTTTTATAGGTGCCTGCGGAGAATCGCGGAAAACTCTGACTACTTTCGAAGGACAGATAGGCTTGAAGATTTCACCACCAAAAAGTGATCGAGCATGGAGAGTATCCCTGGAGGACAGTGAAGTGTCCCTGGTGTGTGTTGTTTTTCTGCGTGTTTTATGTCAATTTAAATCCCTGGTAATAGTGTCAAAAGCTTGACCCGTCTCAAACTTACACAATAATTTAACTTCTAAAAATATGACAAAAAACTTGACCCAATTTATATTAAGTATTTAACGTACAAAATCAAAATGTTATATAAAATATATAAAATAGTTCACACACTATGGGTCATACGCAAGTTTACATATCGCTTCAAGTAATATAGGACTTTCTTTAAAAACTCCAGTATCGATCCCACAGAGAAGCCCAATAAAAAATCCCTTAAGCTAATTCTAGTCGTTACTATCAAGTCATAGTTTGGGAGATGGAAATTCTTATGATAATAACATAAATCACAATATTCAAACTATAAAAATTAAAGTAAGAAAGACAAGTTGAAAAGTAAGAAAGACAAGTTAAAATGGGTTTAATGAATGCTAACAAAAATGTAACTAAAAGAACTAAGTTTACTAAACTAATTTATAAACTTCAGAAGTAAAATTGTTTAAACTAAACAAAGTTTCTGTGACGAAGAGTTCAAATTTAAAAAAGCATCATTCCCCTTTACAATGAGTATATGGATTGTGAAGAAATTAAAATCAATTAAAAATATATATAATTGTATAGTGTCAAATAAGAGCAATCATATTTTTTACCCTCTTTCAAGTGCATAAAGAATATTGACTAATCCAGAGTTTGGTCTGTGATTCCGTGGTTAGGTTGTGATGATACCAGCTCTCACTCCAGAGCTCCCACTTCTCCCTCCCTTGATGGCTAACAATCTCGCATTAGTTGGAGATTTTAATCTGTCGATTGGGAGTTTTAATCTCTCATCTTAAAATCTCCAATTCGGGATCCAACACCTATTTATTTGCATTCAACCCTATTCAACCCTATGGATAACATCCTCACCCATGGAATTGAATGTGACTCTCACTATGATGTAGAAATTATAGCTCTTTCGAATCATATTTTTTTTAACACATTTTAACATTTCAATTGGTAAGATCAAAAAGTAAATTAAGATCGGAGTTCAAATCATCACAAATATTTGACATTTAAAACCGTATAGAACAAAATCAATTCTTCACAAAACCAAATTCATTGTAGGGAGACGGATAAAGAAGACTGCTCAGAATTCATGAGAACGATACGATAAAACACGAATTTCATATTTAAAAACAAGTTTACAAAATAAAGAAAGAAAAGAACACAACTTATCTCACACCCCTTTCTAAGTGAATCCCTAGAAGTTCCCTTTAAGCACTTTCTCTCTTTACAATCACACTTAATTCTCTCCTAGAAATCTAATGAAGAAGAAATCTCTCACCTTCCATCTCCTCTTACAACCCTAGAAGAAAATCTTCTCTTCTCCAAAGTTTTCCTCTCACTCTCACGCCACACTCATGCCCTAGACTCTTCTCCTTTTTAATTAAGGGTTGTCTCCTTTAAAAAAGAATTCAAAATTTCCTCTCAAATTCTCTTCAAAAGTCACATCTTTTGAATCCCAAAAGACATGTCCATTCATTCAAGAAAGATATCCCTTCATTAAAGAGTCTTCTAAAGTGTCTAGATGCATTGAATCACTCCATGGAGCGTTTGAATCATTTAGATCCTTCAAAATATGCTCAAAGTTCGTCCCAAACCGCCTTAATCTGTCTTATATCTTCTCTGGCGCTTCAGGCGCCAATTTTTTGGATTTTGGTGCCTCAGGCGCAGTTTGGTGTCTCAGGCGCCACCCTGCAGCAGCTCCACCATTTTACTCCGTTTGGCTCCGTTTCGCCCATTTTCAGTTGTGTTTTGCTCTTAACAGATATACTTACAAAATAAGCAACGACATTTCTTTAAAGTATAATTTCATTCAAAAACATGTGAGAAAAGTAGATTAAGCACAGAAAGACATCAAAATGTGTAAAGTCAAAATTTTTTTTCTTGCTCGTTTTTACTCCAAATTACACTATTTTTGTTTCATTTTTTTCCAAAAGTCAATTTCTTGTACCTAAAACAAAAAATATGCAAAATACATTTCTTTAAAGTGTAATAACATTAAAAATCATTAAAATTGAGTATAAAATATATATTAAAAAGTAGGTTATTTTTAGGCGTGTCAGATGACTTATCTCATGAAACACGTCGTCTGTATTTTAAAAATAAGATTAGGATGATATTAATTGTTATTTTAATACTCATTTTCTTAACTCTATTAATTATGCTACTCACATTTAAGTGAGACGTCTATCTTTTTTTTGTAATGTTATGCACTAAATTTTTACTTTTAAAGTATAAAATATATTGACATGAATAATTTTATTGTAAACAATATTACTGTACAAAAGCAAAATGGTCGTCTGTTCAGAATTAGCTGCAGCACAGTTGTTTTCAAATTATAAAAAATAAATAGACAACCAACTTATCATCAATAATTTATTATTAAGCTGCAGTTGCCTCAAAACAGACCCTACAATTATCCCATGAATGGGCTCTCAGCCTGTTATCCAAACGCCCGGCACCTCAGGCACAACTAGCGACTTCTTCACTTTCTCACACACAAATCCACCTACGACCAGCCCATCAACGCCTCTCCTCACTTCTGCTTCCATTTTCCCAATCTTGTTCTGTCTCGATTCCCCATGCGAAAACAGTCCTAACTCCTATCACAACAGTAGCTTCTCGAAATTCCCACTAAAGCTGTAGATCCTTCACCTGACTACTAGTTGTTGCCAATCCATGGTCGGCTCCCCCCCCCCACCCTCTTGCCACCGACCACTCTCTTTTTATTTTCCTCTTACTCGAGTGGTATACCAGCACACCCCATTCGCTGTCGCTTTACTTCATCTTTATCTCGGGCAAGCTATAATTGTCTGTTAATCATCTCTACAGCCACCAAACTTCCTCGTTCCTCCTTTCTCTCTCGACGGCCACCCCATTCGCCACCACCAACATTCTGTATACGCGTGCTCAAGACCCAATAGGTAGAAAAAATATTACCCTCGGAGTTTGGACGTAGATTTGCATCTGAACAACAGACGTGATAAGCAGCACGAAGTGGGATTTCGGACCTCCGTTGTATCACATCATAATAATTTTTCTTATGGGTAAGCCCTGTACACATTTTTTTGTAGCACTGCAGGAATATCCCCAGGCAAACCCCTACACAAGGATAATGCTACGAGGCAACAAATTTTTGTTTGGCTGCAGTTTATAGAGAAGAACTGACTTGAACTTATTTAGACTAAAAAACAATCGCTAAATAAAATTATTATAGTACAATTTATGATCAAAATTAGGACTTAAAAACTTATTATGTAGATCATCTCAAAAGAATAGGGTTGGATATAAACTAGAGTTGCACTAGACTTATTGGAGATTCAATAAGTCATTAACAAATTCGAAAGGAACGTGTTGTGAACTCACTAGCTCACCTACAAGTTATCTTGAAAGACGTGCATGCTTTTGCTCAGATATTTGAAGCTTAAATGTTTGCTTGTGCTCTGATCTGTGTGTCCAAATTTAAATTACAATGTTTGAGAATATTGTACTTTTTAGAATAAATTTGATTTTAATAATCCCAATGTATGATAATTATAAATATTTAAATTTAGGCATTTGAGAATGTTGTGCAAGCTAGCTTAAAATTTTTAGTTTTCGTATGCTCTGACCATAATTATATGTTCTTGAAATTATGCACCGAGAATGTTGCATGGGTTGAAATATAAAATAAGCTCCAGCTATTCTGGTAATTTTAAGAAATGTGTAGGTATATTTAAACATGGCAACATCTTCTTTTAAATCAAAATTAACTTTTTAAGTTAAAGATACTCTCAATTGAGCTGCCTCGTCTATAGAGTAAGATTGTAAGTCCCATTTAGCTAGTTTGATCCTTCCTCTAATTAGGATCGGAGTTGATGAGACTTAACCCTCAATGAATCTACCTTATTATTCTCCTCATAAGTACATAATAATGCATTTTTAACTTTGAAATAAATAAACTCACTTAAATCGCAATAAAACCATTTCAATTGATTTTTTTTTTTATGATAGCATTGTTGATTATAATTTCCAAAAAGAAGGGTTTATTTTTAATTTAAAAATTCAAAGGATATTTGAATAAACTTAATTAATATAAATCCTAAATCTAATTCTCTATAAGCTAAACGAACTTAATAATATTTAAGGATATTTATTTTCCCAATGACGACATATTCATCACATATTTTAACGATGGGAGTTTATTCATAAAATTAATATTGTAAATTATAAAATCTAAAAATATTTAATTGAAAATCTATCATTTAAAAGCTAAGAGGAATCTTTATTCATCTTTTACAATAGTTTGTCTAGGGTGATGAGCGGACAGAGGACTCAGACCCCTCTAATTAAATGACTATAGCACAAGTGGTTGTAACTGTTATTTATGGGATCATTAGATAGTGCCCTCATTCATCTCAGATTTGTTACTTTTGAGTGTATGTGTCTCAATCGACTCCATATTTGTGGGTTATTTGTTCATTCGACAAAACTTATGATTCAACAGCTTCATAGTCACATCGTCATAATTAAAGATCTCCTTCCCATGCTTGATTGTCGTCGTGAAGTTTTCGTAGTCATTCGAGAGCTAACTCAATAGAAGAAGTGTCTCATCTTCATCTTTAACCTCCTCATCCAGATATAACAAATATATCAAAAGCTTTGTAAATCATTCAAGTGCTCATCAATAGTAACCTCACTATCTCTCATTTGAAACATGTGGATTTGACGCTTCGTATTGAGACGATTCTCTATGCTCTTCGTGAGATATTTGTTCTCCAACATTCCTCATAATTTTCCTGTAGAAGTCTCCATCATCACCCCAAATTTGAGCTTCTGAGAGAAGTAATTTCGAATCAAATCACAAGCCCTTTAGTCCATCTTCAACCAAACTCTTTCCGACTTCTCTTCAGAACATTCACCACTATCAAGAACTTTCTTCATATTCAATTAGCACAACACATTCACGAGGTCAACATCTCTGACCGCTACATGCTAAATTCTTTGTTTTCTGGAGGTCCATAATATTGCTTATAATTGTAGGCGTTTTGAGGATACCATCATTTATTTTGGTATTTGAATCTTCAACCCGGTCTTCTTTCCACTGCCAAGCTATCCATTCATTGTTGGACTGCCATATCTATAAATTGAAGAATGGGCTATTTTTGGCAGGGAAAGGCATCCATCCTGGCGTTCTCCGTTCAATAAAACAAGGAAGAATTACTTCCTTACATACCACACTATTCTTATGTATTTACACATGTAATACCCAAAAATTGATTTTTTTTACATCTACAGTTTCTCTCTAGTTTTTGGTCCTTTATTATTGGCCTTGTGGTTGGCCTCAATTCTTGGTCAGATTTCTTGCTGCATTGTTTCTACCTTCCCCTTTATTCAATGAATGGTATTGTTTTCCAGTTTCATTTGCTCTAAACTCCTTTGTTTTTCTCAGCTCTTTTGCAGCCATGCACTTTGCATGTTCTTCTCTATTTGTTAGCCTGTCTCTTCTTTGTGCAAATAAAATTTTAAAAGTATAAAATGCATTTCCAGCTCATTTTTCTTTGCACCCAATCTCGCCATGATAGTTGGGACATTTTCATGACTCTTATTTTGCCTTTCAAAAAAAACTTTTCCCAACTTTCTCTTGCGTTTTCTTCTTGCAGGAGAAGTCTCTCGTGCGTGATAAGTTTCTCCTTGAGAACGAGGTATGTTCATCTTGCTGTCAAGCTTATATATATATATATATATATATTTATGTATTTGTATGAAATGGTGCTATTTCTTTTTTGGTTCAGCTCGCTGAGATGAAGAATGCGTCAAAAAATGCACAAGAAAAACAATCAAAAGTGCAAAGTGACCCAGCAAGCTCATATTTATGTATTTGTATGAAATGGTGCTATTTCTTCTTTGGTTCAGCTCGCTGAGATGAAGAAGGCATAAAAAAATGCACAAGAAAAACAAGCAAAAGTGCAAAGTGACCCAGCAAGCTTCTCAACACCACCCACCTTACTATTAATAGACACAATAGACTCCCCTTCCACAAGCATTCCGCCATGGATGCTCAGGCCTGCAACCTGAACGGAATGCTGCTGCTCTTTAAGGTATTGTGAGTCGTATGGCTTATTGTAATGCATTTGAGGCGCTAATGCCGTAGAATATGTCTAAATCACGCGTTAATGTGATGCTTGGAAACTATTAATAGGCTATAAGTGCCTAAAAAATTCATGTTGTGCCTCTTGTTAATACATGTGTTGTAATTATATTGTGCTTGTTGTGATATGCTGCGTTTTTTGTGAGTGGCATTTTAAAAAACAGTCTCTATGAGGTTCACCAAAGAGAACAGAGTGTTTTATTGATGGAAAATTGTTATACACTCCAATAAATATAAATACTAAATTATTCTGAGGTGCCCAACTACCTATTCGTTGCCCGAATTGTTGAATTGTTTATCTGATGAATTGTTGAATTGCCCAGCTGGTCAATTGCTGAATTTCTTAGCTGCACAGTTACCCGACTGTCGAACTGCATAAGTGCTGAATTTTTGAATTGTTGGGTTTTTGAATGCCCAACAACTGAATTGCCTAATTATACAATTGTTGAACTGCACAGCTGCTGAATTGTCTAATCACTAAACTAACATATTGCCCAGCTGTAGAATTGTCGGATTGCCTAAATTACCCCACTGTTGAATTGTTGAATTGCCCAGCTACCGAACGATCCAACTGTCAAATTGTTGAATTGTCAAACTATTAAACTCGTAAACTGTCAAAATGGTGAAGTGTTTGAACTGCCTAGTTGGAGAATTTATTGAAGTACCTAACTGGAGATCTGGTTGAACTACATAGTTGAAAAACTGGTTGAATTGCCTAACAGGAGAACTGGTTGAACTTCCTAACAAAGAAACTGACACTAAAGAAGAGTTTTGAATTAGCGTCGAAAATTTTAGACGCATATATTTTAGTCGGATTTTGCGACTGATTTTCGGTGAACATAAAATTATTCTATTTGCGTCTGTTCTGCGCCTGAATATTATATACAAACAACAGCAAAATGAATGATATTACTGCAGCGGTTTTCACGTCGGATTTGAGTTGAATAAATCTACGTAAAATGTTTACTTAAAAGCGTAAAAAAAATTGACACAAAGTAGACGATAAATTCAACGCAAAAGACCTAAAAAACACAACTCGCGCCTTGCAATTCATTTTCTTCTTGGCACACCACGCCCCAGTCTTCTCTCCTCCCTTTACACCGAACCCTAGCAGCTCCTCTCCTCCCTCTTGCCGTTGTTGGTCGCCGTACTATCATCCTGCCACCGAAAACCGTTCACGATTGCCCCTTGTGAGAGGATCGAAGAAGGTAACTTCAGCCCATTTTTGACTTTTTCAAATTTTGGTAATTTTGGTATGTATGTAACAATTTTGGTATGTATGTAACATTTGAAGCTTAGGTGTTAGGAATGCATATGCATAAGATTTCAGTGGCGTGTAACATTTGAAGTTTAGGTATTTGGAATGTATATGCATAAGTTTAGGTGTTTAGCTATGTGTATATATATACTGAAGTATTGAGTGGTATGTATTACAATCTTGCTATTTATATATATATGTAAGCATTCAGTGTTAGCTTTGTATAAAGGCAAATTTGGGTGAGAATATAGTTAGTTTTGGAGTAGGCATGAATTAGGATTGGATGATTGAGTGTTTTTCTGCTTGAGTCATTCAATTTTGAATTTAATTAATTTTGTTAATGATTTGCATTTGGAATATATCTATGTATATTTTAGCTTTAGCTTAGGATTATATTTAGAGTAATGTAGGTTTTGAGTTTAGTTTTAAGTTGAATGTAGTTTAATTAAGATTTGATTTTAAATAGTTTTTTCTAGTTTATGTTATTTTAGCGTAAATTCATTTATGGGTTCTAAGTTAAGTTTGTTGAATTTTAATTTATTTAGTTTTACTTGAGTTAATGTTTGGAATTGAACATATATCTCATCATTATGAGGTGTGTAATTCAATTTATTTAGTTTTACTTGAGTTAATGTTTGGAATTGAATATATATGATGCGTGCTCGAAAATTTGCGGCAGTAGAGTAACGGACTATCTTCTTAGCGTTGCGTTGTACGAAAGTTCAAGTTCAACACATACACAGATGAAAGAGAAACAAGCGGTGATGACTCCAGAAATTTTTACGTGGAAAACTCGTAAGTGAAAAATCACGGGGCCTAGCCCAATTGCGGAAATCCACTATTGATTGATGATTATAGAAATTTTCTGTCCCATAGACGGGAAATGGTAACTATATTTTTCAGATTAAAACATTGACCGACGACGTCTCGTTGGTGGTGATCGATGGTGGGGTGCGGGGTTGGTGGGGGTGGCCGGCGATCGGCGGTGGTTGACAACGGCCGTCGTCTGCGGTGGTCTACGACGATCGGCGGTGGACAACGACGGAGGTCAGCGGTGGTCGACGATGATCGGCGGTGATGTTGAGCGGCAGCTTCTCCTCAATGCCACAAACTCTCTCTAGGCTTCAATAATTGAACGTTTCTTGTTTAAAATATCGTCTCGAGATCCTTGTTATATTTCGAGATTCGTGCCGGATGATAAAAATTTGTTAGTGGTGTATCATATATAATAAATAAATAAGCTAAAAGATTTCAATGATTTTTAGATGTAATGATATTAAATATCATACTTGTTACATTGAATTGAATTATACCATATAACAGTTATTTATCAAATCCTGTGGCAAGCAGGCTTTATGAGATTTAGAGAAGCGGAAGCTTGTGAGACTTAGTAAATCCTATTAAAGTCACATAAGTTTTTTTGATTTATTCTCTTTAGAATTTAATTTCTTTAAGATTTTATAAATTTGGATTTACAAGATTTACTAAATTTTATTCTTGCAACCAAACAACCACTTAAATTCTTTTAGTTACGTATAAAACTCAATACGTGCTTTGCCTAGCTTTTATTTATTCTGAATTAATGATTTTATTTTCAAACTTGCCTAAATTGAATTTATATTCAAACTCAACTAAACTAATTATAATGAAATAATAATTATCACGGATCTTTTGTGAATATAGCTCAGAATCTGATGTGCAATGTTTCAAGGTTTTGAAATAGCTTCATAGAAGACACATTTGTTGTTCTTTTATTATCATCCCATTTCTTCCCGAATTATTGAAGTGTTTGGTATGATTCATATACCAGATAAGGGACAAATGTTGGAGCAGAACTAAGCGAGCCAGTGGAGCAGAGCGAGTGAGCGGAAGCATTTGTCTAATCGGGGGAGATTCCTAAGGTGGGTTGGGGGTGCAGGGGCAATATGTCTGCGGTATGGTACATGTGTAATTTTGTAATTACATATTGTATCCTAGGGTTATATATA